CCGCTGACGATACAGAAGAGGGTCGTGGGGTACTTGTTGCCTCTCAGCTCCTTCACTGTCTCAGCAGGGAACCCACGTAGGACCGCGTTGTACTTGAGGTACATGGGTCCTGCAAGAAAAACTCTATCACGATCTGGGAGATTGCGGCGTAGGGAGGAGGGAAGTGGGAGGAGGGATGGGGGGGGAGGAGAAGTGAGCAAGGGGATGGGTGAGGGGGTGGGGCATGAAGGGAGAGCCAAGTAGGAGAAGTGGAGGAGGACGATGGGGAAGAGGACGAGGACGAGTACGCGTAGGAGTAAGCATCTTACCAGTATAGAGGATGAGAGCAATTATCTCTTCCTTTCTCAGTTTTGCCCTCACCACCGCCTCCTGGCCCATCAGCTGCTCTACACTCCTCACGATCCTCTTCCCCTGGCACGCCTTGACTCGCTCCTCCTCCTCTGTGACCACCCTCCACTCCTGAGCAGGAGAGGTCTCGAGCAGGTAGTTGGGCGTCCTGAATGTGTCCCTCGAGTCTGCCCTCTCGCAGTGCTCCTGCTGCATCCCATCGTAGAAGTTGAGCATGGGATACCCTATCCTCTCCAGCAGCCCCTTGTGGAACTCCTCCAGTTTCCCGAACTCTGCGACACAGAACTTGTCGTTGATCGGCTCGCTGGCGCCCTCAAGGAGGCGGGAGGCTTCCTCCTCGGCCTGCAGGAGGTTCTTCAAGCTCAAGAAGCTCTCCGCCAGCCTCGACGCCACGACACCCTGGCACCACATCGCCACGTCCTCCAAGGATGAGCTCTGCAGGAACTGTAAGGGGTTGTCAGGGGATCCTTCGGGGATGCACTCGGCCAAGGTCCTGATGACGTCAGCTTGCGAGGACTTCGCCAGGAAGCTCTGCTTGCTCAGCACCTCCCACTCCCTACAGATTGATCCACAGAACTCCTCGAACGTAGACGACGAACGTCGCCTGTCCACAAACACATCCGAGCTCAGCCCGAGCTGCATCGGGATCTCTCCGCATTCTTCGTGGAAAACTCCGAGGTCGTTGGCGATCGCGGAAGGGGAAGGAGAGGAGGAGGTCGTATCAAAGAAAGCACGCAAGCGCACAGCTTGCTCAGGGCTCAGCTTCCAAGCACTGCCCCCCTTCATCTCGTGCCTCTTGGAGGGGGCTTCTGAACTCGTCACTGAAAACTTCCCATGGCGCCCCTTGTCGAATTCGTCCACCTGGCGGTTTCATGTCAAATCACCCAAACACTCGAAATTGCTCCACCTTGCTCGCCGTGCTGTTGGGAGCTTTGGTAACATTCGCATCTTGATCTGGAATAATCGATTGGACCGATGATCCACAGCCCATCGTCTCTCCCCGCCTCCCAGCGCAGTGCCTGTCAAAGAGCAACTCTTGAATGCAGTTTCGTTGCAAACACCCAACAATGACCACAGAAACGAGCGCGAGAAGCAAAACAAACAAAGGTAGAAGGCGGTTCAAACTCTAAAAGGCGGATCAAAATCATGCCTTCTCATACCCTTCAACTTCCCTAAAGCCTGATCCAACTCAACTCCTTCTGGTATGCAAATCATGACAACTCCCTGGCAACAACCCAGAAAGTTGCTCGCTCCGTTACAGTCATTGACCTACAACTTAAACTTTTCTTGTCCTGACCAACCTCCAACATGATATCTCATCCTCTCCGTCCCTCTGCTCTCCTCGCACTTTCCCTCCCTCCTTCCCCCCTCCACTCCCTGCCTGCTTCCTCCCCTGCTTCCGCCCATTCCCCGACAAACTGCCAATCCAAAAAGATGACTGTGTGTCTGCATGCGTCATGCGTTGCAACGTATGTACGGGTATATTGCTTGAAAATAGGGGGTACTTTGAGTGAAACAAGGCAAATATGCCATGGCAACACCGAGCCATCTGGGAAATAACTACTCTGCTATCCCACCCCCATCAAATCACCTCTACCCCTAGTAAAGCAATCATTTCAAGGGGTGAAAGACATGTACAACACATAGAGGATAGGGGGTGGGGTACAGGCGGGCAAGGGGTGGTGCATAGCCCCATAGCGCCATAACGGGAGCCTGACGATGCACGGGGGAGGAACTCCCAATAAAAGGGTCTAGTACCGGTATTTTTGTATGATATTTTGGGGGTACCTTTTCAGGAGGGGTGGGTGAGTTTGCAGGAAATCGCAATGGCAGCAAGGCGGCGACCAGGTTTAAGGATGATTAATTCAGCCTGTGCAATGATGACAATCGTGAAACCACCATAGCCTATCAGGAAATTGTAAAATCTATATCATGGTATCAATCATTTGAATTGCATCGTAGCAGTGTTTAATATTTTCCACAATACGTACTTTTTTCTACTTGCAGCCAGCAATGCTACGCAATCCCCGGAACCGTTGCATATTACCTGTTAATCCTTCATCCCATTGCCCTGATTTTGCATATACTCGCTTTCGATTGTTCTTCTGCGTACTATTGTGTGGCTCCACGTCATTATCAGATCCATCCCGTGCATTGAAAGCTTCACGGTCGTGCGGTTTGCTCAGGACAATTCGCTTCTTCGAATGCTCGTATACAAAAGGCAGGTTTGGATCCACCTTTTTAGATAATTCTATGCATGCCTGATTGAATTTTCTCAGAAAATCCTTCTTGTTCAGATGGCCGATCAAGGACCACAGATTCTCTACACTATCCGTCCAGAGAGTTCGTGAATTGAAGTCATAGTCTCTATCACCCAGCGCATGATTCTTATCCCTCACATACTGTTGTACTTGCAGATGAGTATCAATTGCAACTATGAAGCCTTCAAATGTTACAGATGATAGTCCCTTGACATGTTTTTGGCTGACACTGGTCCAGTCGATGCCTTCCAATAGCCATCTTCGACCCTCTTGAACGAGACGTATCCTCTCTGAAACTTTCAGCCCTCTTTCATCGAATGCTTTGTGCAGGCCAGACATAGCCTCTGCCATTCTTGCTGTCGCTTCATGTCCTTCTGCCTTTAGTAGACTGATGGCCTTGTCACTGAACATCTTCAGCATGATATCCACCGATTGTGGATCGGCGGTCCCGTCGACTTCCATCTGAGTCATCCAAGCAGGATTCTTCTTGGCGATATCACTGTAAGCTTTATGCCATATCTGGGCTTCCGTAGAAGACGATTGAGACTTCCCTGATCCAATGGAATGCCTGACATTCTTCAACAAGTGATTGATGCACGGCGAGAAAAACAACAACTTGTTCGTAATTGGAGAGAGGACGGGATTGGATAACCATTCGTCGAATTTAAAGCGGATCTTGTGTTCATCAAAGTCATTTAGTCCATCAGCTATTCTTCGCTCCATCTCCCAAGGAGTGAATGTTTCCCCCCCCTCTTCATTGTGCTTGGCCAATGAAAGAACTTCTTCATATCCGTACCGTCTGCAAAATATTTGAAACCTGCAAAACATCTCTTTCAGGGTCGCTCTGGGCCTCTTCCTCGTGTGGCATCGTAGCGTCTTCTCCTTCTGAACTTGCCATATGGCCTGGTTCTGTCGTAACTGCAAAACAAACTGTTTAATTTCTCTCATCTCAGCAACATCCATGTGTACAATTCCTTGCTGAGGTGTGATGGGCAATGACGACAAATCATCACCATCGTACTCATCTGGATGGTCCAATGTGCACTCACTCTCAATGTCGTGCTCTGAAATTGGAGGTTCGAACTTGAATATCCCCGAAATGTATGCTGAAATAGATGTACATAAATGTCTATATTCCATACTGGTTGCAGTCTTGTTAATGGCTTTCACTTCCTGAATGAATGTACTTGGCTTGTCTTGGTAGAAATAACGATATATACAGGCGAACTCCCCATCGAAAGACCACACATTGAAGTTCACGCCTCTCTTCCAAGCTTCATTGGTGACAGCTAAAAAAATATCCTTTCCATCTTTGGAACACAAACTTTTATGGGCAAAGCCGATGTAAACAGGCGCAGGAGGCATATGCTTTTGTCCACGATGCTGATAGAAATGTCCATCCGAGAAGCAGACTACTGATCGGAGCTATACTCTCACCTCAGACAATGCCAAGCAGTTGATGTGTGCTGGAAGGTATTCATGGAGAGGACAGTAACCGCTTGTAGCCGCTAGAGCTACTACACGTGTGCGGCCGCTACTACAAGCTCTCCACTCTATCAGCCTACATCAACGTCACAGATTCCAGTCCCTCATCCTCTGTGGTGTCGCCTCATCGCCTCCCTCCAGTTGCTCTTCACTCTGAGACCGTGCCTTGTCTACGAGCTGGATGCTGATCTCCGCTCCCTTTAGCCATGCCACGTCTTTCTTGGACAAGAACATCGCGTGCTGAGTAACGTTTTCCATCTGCTGCTTCTCCATCTCACTTGCTGTCTTGTCGTTGGTGAAAACCTGAGCTCCTCTCCAACGTGCTTTCCCCTCAAGCTCTGAGGGTAGAACAAACACAAGGCACACCCTCTCAAACTTGTTCTTGGCTCGTAGAGCTGTCAACATCCTACACAGTGGTCCAAGCTTGATCGGGTGTTTTCCTGCTATCGTCATCTGGAACATGTAGAGGACCTCCTGATCTGACAATAAAAGCGCATCTACGCAAGGGAAGTTCGATGCCTTGGGGTGGCTTGCAATATGTGTTCTCCATGATCTTCCACTCGTTGAGTCCTGTTGTAGAGAACTCAAAGTATGCCTGCGACTTCTTCATACGCAAATCTATCTCTTCCCTTGCCCCTTCATCATCCTCACCCGACCCTAGACTGCGCAATCTGTATCTCCCTCCTTTCTTCAGCACCTCATGTGCCAAGCATTCAAAAACTAGAGCTGCCGCCCCATATCACCCAGAATCAGAGCCTGAGAAGGCAAGGTCTACAAGCCTATCCCTGTCTGTTTTGACAAGTCGGGCAAAGATCTTCTCCGCGGCTTTCTGCGAGCATGCTCGAGCGCTGATAGTCTTGTAGTCTGAGCTTGGGACCAGGTGAATCAGTCTCGATGGCATTCCCAGGTCTTCGTTCACTGCTGCTTGCATCTTTTCCTGTAGCGACGACAGTGAGGTTATCGTCTGTATCGCCTGCTCAAGTGTCCCTACAGGCCTCAATATGACATTCCTCGGTACGTTCCCCCAATCCTCGACGATATTCCTTGCTTCTTCTTCGTTCACGCGACCCCCTTGCATCTTGATGAAGATTGACATCTCCTCATCAGTCCATGTTGGCAGAAAGTATCGCCCCGCCCCATTGTTCAGAATGTCCTTGAACCCTCCAAGCTTGGGTGAAGACAGTATGATTGTCTTCGCCAAACTTGCTATCACGTAGCTCCCCAGGCCTTTGTACAGGTCACAGATGTACCACCCCCGGAAATTGATGAGAAAGTTTACAACGACGGTCACATCTCCAAACTTACTCCATTCTGCCCCATCAAAGTACCAGTAATTGGTTCCTACCTGATAGACTACTTCCTCATCAGAGCCGAGAAGCTGAAGAAGAAAGAAGTAGGCAAAGCATGACTTCCCTATCCCTGGACTCCCTGTGAGGATGACCTGCCCATTCTTCGGCGTCTCCGTGTCCAAGCGGAAGTACTCTGCAATCACCTGCTTCATCTCCAAGTAGCAATCTCGAAGGAACAGCTGATTTCCGAAAACCTCATTCCCTCCCAAGAAGGTCGAGAAGCTCACAATCTCTTGAGCTGAGTAAGTCTTGCCCGCCCTCGCAACCTGGCAAAGCTCGTTCAAGAAGGACAGGAACATGTCGCCTATCAGCCCCGTCAGCGCCTTCAGTCGTCAAACTTGTGCACTGCTAGCATTACCTTGAGGTTTTGACAGGAAGTCTTCAGGCTTCTTTGAACCTTGAGTCTTCTTCTTCTCGATCAGGAGTAGATCGCGAAGCTGCTCCTCTTTCTTTAGAAGTCGATCCTTTTCCTTGCGGAGCTGCTCCTCTTTCGTTCGGAGCTGCTCCTCTTTCTTGCGCCAGTATTGCCGCTCGTCCTTGTCAGTGTCTGGATCGAGTGCACGTTTCTCTGCCTCTCTGATCTGTCGGCTGACCTGATCTATCTCCTCCTCCACCCTAGCAATCTGCGCGCCTAAAGAGATCATCTCCTCACGATAGTCTCCTTCTTGCTGCATCATGGACATCTTCATCCTCCCGGGCACTCCCTTTCTCCTACGCTCTGCACACTCCAGCGCGTTGAGACTAGAAGCGCGACGTATGCATGTACCGGCTTCATTGCCTTTGCGCATGCGCATGTAGCTCGTGACAGCAGTCCTCCTCGGCCGGATGCATACATCGAGTGCGCAGGGGCAGAAGGCATGGATGGCAGGAAGGAGCATAAGGGCGGTGAGAGGCAGAGAGGGGCCACCGGTTCCTACCATGGCGGGAGGTGCGCGATTGGGTAAGAGGAGTGTAGTACCCACCCTTACCTCTACGAAAGTCTGATTGTGTACCCCTATTACCCCGTAGTTTCGGTAGCCCCACCACCCCCTCGAGTCCTCCGAAGCTCCAGAAGGCTGAGTAGTTGAGTAATCCCTAGCTACCGGGAAAGGGCGACATAGACGTGTGGGTTTCCAGGTGAAGTCGACTGCCTGCGACAGTCAGCGATCGGACTGCCCGTGAGACTTGTTGATGGTGAACGCCAAGGACAGAAGAAAGGGGACTGAATTGGATCTGTGGCAACATGTCATGATAGTTGCCTCCGCCATGTTGCGATAGCTGAAGCCGGGTTCCATTACACAATTTGGGAGGTGACTAGCAGGATGGGAGCAGCGACCTTGAGCGAGAGCTCATGAGGAGGGAAACCACCCGGGCTGAGAGAGTCGGAGAAATTCCACAATGGGGAACTGGACTACTTCTTCCTGATCCATGACCGTGTATCAATTGAATGATACGTTCTAGGCGGAGTGGGAAGTCGTTGAAGGATTGCCGGGCTTACCTTAGGTGCGGCATTGTTGATCGGGCACTGAAAGGATTTCTTGCAGTGACAACGATGCCAAGCTCTGCACATTGTGTAGGAGATCAGGGAAGACTTTTTCGACCAGTTCCTGTTGAGAATTGACCGAAGAACAAACATTTGGAGCAAGATCAATCATGCTGTCAACCCGGGGTCGGGAGTAGATCCTCACCGACCATCAGTAGCCTGATCGCAAGCTCTTGTGCGTATACTTCCCCACTGAACGCAGCACGCATGTTTCTTCTGAGACTGAGGGGTTGAGCTCTGGTCCACAAAGACGAAGACTTGATTGACGCCTCAATCTCCGGTTTGACGAAAGTCACCTGCCCAAACAGCTAACACTCGGCCCATGGAGACATCAAGTTGTTTGTTGAGACTACTGATCGGAGCTATATTCTTTCCTCAGCCTATGGCAAGCAGCTGATGTGGCTCGTTGCACAGGTGCTGGAAGGTTCATGGAGAGGACAGCAGCCGCTGTGATAGGGGTTACCCGGAAGAAGAGCGACGGTGTGATGCAGGCCCACGAGGGCAAGACAAGTCTATCCATGCCAGAGTATAAAGCACTCCTCAACATCTTGAAGGAGGTGAGACCTCGCAGAGGAAGTTGAGAGTCCGGCAGCTCCTTTGATTTTCTCTTGGGCATGCTGTTCTGTCATGTGGAACCAGGTATGCAGAAGCGAGAGTCTAGCCTCGGACATTTCAGATGATGATAATGATGATAATGATGATGACGATGATGATGGTGAAGATGATGATGATGATGATGATGATGATGATGATGTTGTTGTTGAAGATGATGATGGTGATGATGATGTTGTTGTTGTTGAAGATGATGATGGTGATGATGAGGAGGAGGACGATGACGATGACGACGACGATGACGACGACGACGATGATGACGATGCAGATGATAATGAAGAAGAAGAAGAAGAAGAAGAAGAAGAAGAAGAAGAAGAAGAAGAAGATGGAAATGACGATGTTGGTAGTAATTAGCCCGATGATGATGATGATGATGATGACGGAGGTAATCGAGGTAATGAAGGAGAACACGAAGAAGAAGAAGAAGAAGAAGAAGATGGAGATGATGGCGATGCAAGTGATGATTGATGTATCTTGGTCATGTTTTCGCGGCGGAGCGCCAAGTTTCGCTCTGCGTCGCTGTTCAATATGGATGGACGGCCTTGTGAGAGTGTGCATGTACTGGGCATCATCCATTCTCTCAGTCCACGTTTGTCTCGAGGAGTTGTATCGAATGATCTAGATCATTATGTTGTCCGTCGAACGATGCAATCTCTGTCCCAACACGAAGCTTCATACAGATACATATATTGGTTACCCGAGCTACAGTGCTCGTCACCGTGACTGCCGCCATGGATCTCACCCATGACCACATGAGCCGTCCATCCTCTGTAGCCGCTAGAGCTACTACAAGCTCTCCACTCTATCAGCCTACATCAACGTCACAGATTCCAGTCCCTTATGGTGTCGCCTCATCGCCTCCCTCCAGTTGCTCTTCACTCTGAGACCGTGCCTTGTCTACGAGCTGGATGCTGATCTCCGCTCCTTTTAGCCATGCCACGTCTTTCTTGGACAAGAACATCGCGTGCTGAGTAACGTTTTCCATCTGCTGCTTCTCCATCTCACTTGCTGTCTTGTCGTTGGTGAAAACCTGAGCTCCTCTCCAACGTGCTTTCCCCTCAAGCTCTGAGGGTAGAACAAACACAAGGCACACCCTCTCAAACTTGTTCTTGGCTCGTAGAGCTGTCAACATCCTACACAGTGGTCCAAGCTTGATCGGGTGTTTTCCTGCTATCGTCATCTGGAACATGTAGAGGACCTCCTGATCTGACAATAAAAGCGCATCCACACAAGGGAAGTTCGATGCCTTGGGCTTGCAATATGTGTTCTCCATGATCTTCCACTCGTTGAGTCCTGTTGTAGAGAACTCAAACTATGCCTGCGACTTCTTCATACGCAAATCTATCTCTTCCCTTGCCCCTTCATCATCCTCACCCGACCCTAGACTGCGCAATCTGTATCTCCCTCCTTTCTTCAGCACCTCATGTGCCAAGCATTCAAAAACTAGAGCTGCCGCCCCATATCACCCAGAATCAGAGCCTGAGAAGGCAAGGTCTACAAGCCTATCCCGGTCTGTTTTGACAAGTCGGGCAAAGATCTTCTCCGCGGCTTTCTGCGAGCATGCTCGAGCGCTGATAGTCTTGTAGTCTGAGCTTGGGACCAGGTGAATCAGTCTCGATGGCATTCCCAGGTCTTCGTTCACTGCTGCTTGCATCTTTTCCTGTAGCGACGACAGTGAGGTTATCGTCTGTATCGCCTGCTCAAGTGTCCCTATAGGCCTCAATATGACATTCCTCGGTACGTTCCCCCAATCCTCGACGATATTCCTTGCTTCTTCTTCGTTCACGCGACCCCCTTGCATCTTGATGAAGATTGACATCTCCTCATCAGTCCATGTTGGCAGAAAGTATCGCCCCGCCCCATTGTTCAGAATGTCCTTGAACCCTCCAAGCTTGGGTGAAGACAGTATGATTGTCTTCGCCAAAATTGCTATCACGTAGCTCCCCAGGCCTTTGTACAGGTCACAGATGTACCACCCCCGGAAATTGATGAGAAAGTTTACAACGACGGTCACATCTCCAAACTTACTCCATTCTGCCCCATCAAAGTACCAGTAATTGGTTCCTACCTGATAGACTACTTCCTCATCAGAGCCGAGAAGCTGAAGAAGAAAGAAGTAGGCAAAGCATGACTTCCCTATCCCTGGACTCCCTGTGAGGATGACCTGCCCATTCTTCGGCGTCTCCGTGTCCAAGCGGAAGTACTCTGCAATCACCTGCTTCATCTCCAAGTAGCAATCTCGAAGGAACAGCTGATTTCCGAAAACCTCATTCCCTCCCAAGAAGGTCGAGAAGCTCACAATCTCTTGAGCTGAGTAAGTCTTGCCCGCCCTCGCAACCTGGCAAAGCTCGTTCAAGAAGGACAGGAACATGTCGCCTATCAGCCCCGTCAGCGCCTTCAGTCGTCAAACTTGTGCACTGCTAGCATTACCTTGAGGTTTTGACAGGAAGTCTTCAGGCTTCTTTGAACCTTGAGTCTTCTTCTTCTCGATCAGGAGTAGATCGCGAAGCTGCTCCTCTTTCTTTAGAAGTCGATCCTCTTTCTTTAGAAGTCGATCCTTTTCCTTGCGGAGCTGCTCCTCTTTCTTGCGCCAGTATTGCCGCTCGTCCTTGTCAGTGTCTGGATCGAGTGCACGTTTCTCTGCCTCTCTGATCTGTCGGCTG